AAGATAAATAAACCCTTTTAGTATAACCAAAAGAGGAAAGGAAATGCAAGGAAAATAAAGGAAAGTAAAGGGATATCATCTTTGCTCCTCTTGTTTCAGTCCAAACCAAACAAAGGGTTTAAGAAAATTGTATAAAAAGATTGGCAGAAAACATTTTAAAAAGTTAATTTGGTCTAATTTTAAGTCTCTATAACTAGGAAATTTTACTAGAATCTTCGTAAACCTGAACCAAAAGTAACAATAGGGGGCGATTCTATTTGACCAAACAAAAGCTGTTACTAGTGCCCCCACTTGACATCAAGACAAGAGGTGCAAAATTTGTCCCTTCCAGTGGTCTAATTCACTGTCTTATAGATAAAAGAATTAGCATATAGGGTCTAGTTCACTGTCTTACAGACAAAAGAATTAGCATATTGTTTCCATTTCTGTAATATATATAAATATATAATAGAATAGTAGATATTATTCATTAAATTTAATGTTTTATTGATATAAATCATTTATATTATTTTTTAAATTAATTGAATATATCTACCTAGTTTATTGATTATATAAGATTTAACATCATTATACAAATAAGAATAGTGCACATCAGTCTTGACTGTTATAAAAAAATTAGAGTCCCAACTTAAAAAACATGATCTTCAAATAAATATTTTTAAAAACTAACTATTCTATCTAGTCTTCTATTCATGTAGATTATACATGCTAATTTTTAAATTAAGTAAATATATCTAATAAGTTTATTGATTATATAAAATTTAACACCATTAAAAAAATGTTAAAAAATATAAGTTTCTTAATTAAATGATTATAAATATTATATTAATTTAAAAATTAATATATATAATTTATATTAATAAAAGATTTAATCCTAACAGTTAATTTTTAAAATTTTTATTAAAGAGTGACTAATTTTTTAAAATATTATTAACCTTTTTGAAATTGAGATCCTAATTTTTTAATGGTTAAACTACCAAGTTAGTCCCTCAACTTTTAGATTTGTGCTGAAATTGTCTTTAAATTTCAAAAAATATCAAATTTATCTCTAAACTTTAATTTTTAGTACTAAAATAGTCATTCCATTAAAAAAATGTCACGTAACTCTTTTTTTGTCACAAAATTAGTTTTTTTTTTAATATTAATGACATGTAAAATGAAATAATTATATTTTACAATTATGACATATTTTTATTTATACATCAAATTAATATGTAATTAAAGTTGATTAACTAAATTGGTATCTTTAACCAAAGCTAAAGGACTATGTTGGTGCTTGTCTTTAAAGTTTAAGAATTAAGTGCCCGTTTGATGTAGTTTGGGCTTTTAATAGAAGTCATGTTGAAAAGAAACTACTGTATAAGTGTTGTTTTTGGAAATAAAAAGAAAAATAAAGATAAAATAGAAATAATGTGTTAATTTTATTAAAATCTAAATGAGAAACTTATGCAAAAACACTAATTCGATGCTTCTAAAATTTGCAATGAAATGAAAAAAATGTTAACTTATGGAAAGTTATAATATCTTTTACTAGTTGTAATATTTGGTGCAGTTTGTACTTTTGAAGCCAAGAAGTCCTTCCCATGAGCTGCACCAAACAGGCTCACAAGCTATAGAATAGTGGCATTGAATTAAAGTTTACGGACTATTTTGTTATCAACAATTAAAATTTAGGAGCAATTTTGATATTTTTAAAATTTGAAGATAATTTAAAATAAATTTAAAAGTTAAGGGACTAAATTAAAATTTTAACATTTTTAATAAAATTCGGGATTATAGAATAGTGGATATCCATCTTCACACCGCCTAAGTTTGCAGCAACACTATTACTAACCGCATTGCGTGCGCATAGGCCCAACTAAAATTGGTTTTATCCTAAGTTTGGCTTCTGGATCTGATTTATGAGTTGCAAAAAACCATTTGATCTAGTCTAAGAAAGCGTAGTATACTAAAGCCACTCTTCCAGCCCACCTTTTTTTTTCTCCTTTTGCATAAATCTGTTTTGTATTGAATTTCCAACTAC